TTTAGGTTTATTAATATTTGTTTTTATATTTGGATGCTCTGATATTGGGTATATATGTACCATACATGATTGTTATGTCCTTTTGTTGAATTGATCCCTTAACCATGATATAATGACTTTCCTTTTTTATGCTTTAAATTATATTTTATCTCATCTAATTGTAGCTACTCCTGCTTTCTTGTGGATTCAATTATCATGTAATACCTTATTCCATTTCTTTTAAATTTGTCCATTGGTGTTCTCAGAGAAGAAATGAGTTTCTTCTAGGCAACACATAGCTGAGTCATATCTTTTTATCCAGTCAGTGTACTCTATATCATTTCATTGGACAATGTACTCCATTTAAATTTAAAATAATTAGTGATAGGTAAGGTCTTACTATTGCCAATTTGTTACTTATTTCCTAGTTTTACTATACTTACACCCCCCCCTTAAGTCTCCCTTTGTTGGAAATAATTTTTTTAAGTAGTATATTTTACTTCCTTTGTTTACTGTTTTAAATATGACCATTATAAATTTTTATCTTTATGTCATCATGATGCTTATGAAAAACACCATATTATGAAATATTTTTAAATGATAGCAGCTTAATATAAATCATAAAGCTAAGAAAAGAAGCCAAAAGACAGTGAAAAAATGCTAATAAAAATCTACACTGTTACTCCATTCCTCTTCACATTTTGAATTTTTGATATCCTATCCTATTTATATATTTCTATATAGCCTATATCTTTTTGCCTTTATTATTATTATTTTGATGCTTTTGTTTTCACTCTTCATATTAAGGTTATGAATAGTTAATATACAATATTTATATATTAAAGGATGCTGAATATGTCTGAAGTTATAATTTCCAATGAATTTTATACTTTCTGATATTTTCTTCCTACTCATTAGTGTCTCTTTCATTTTGAAGAATTCCCATTAGCATTTCTTATAAGACAGGCCTGGTACTGATAAATTCTCTCAGCTATTGTTTGTCTGGGAATGTCATTATTTTATCTTCATTTCTAAATGATGGCTTCCTGGGCCATAGTATTCTTGTTTGGCAGGATTTTTTCTTCCCTTAGCATTTGACTATATTACCCTTTTCATTTAGGTTTCTGCTGGCAAATTTGCCATGAGGAGAAATGTAACATACTTGTGTGTTACTTGTTTATTTCCACTGTGTATTTGAAAATCTTTTATTCATTTTTAACTTTTCAAGGCTTGACTATAGCATGTCTTGGGGGGATATTTGCCAAGTTGAATCAGTTTAATGACCTCTGATCTTCCTCTAACTGGATTTGTGAATTCTTCTTTAGATTGGGGAAATATGCTGTTTTTATCTCTTTGAACAATTTCTCTAGCTCATTAACATCCTCAAATCCCTCTTGAACCCCAGTAAGTTGAATAATTGCTCTTTTAATGCTGTCCCAAAGTTCCTATAATTTTTCTCCATTCCTCTCCATTGACTGTGTATTTTTAAATAGGCTGTCTTCAGGATCACTAATTCTTTCTTCTGTTTGATTCATGCATCTATTGATGGCTCTACAACATTTTAAATTTTGCTTCTGTACTTTTCAGCACAAGGTTTTCACTTTGATTTTTTAATTACTTCAATGACTTTTATGTTTCCTTGTTAGAATACTGAATCATTTCTCTTGTGTGTTATTGAAGCTGAATTTCCCTAAAACAGCTATTTTGAATTCTCCATTCAAATTTGCAAATACTGGTTTACATATGGTCAGTTTCTGGCATTTTATTTTTTCCACTATATAAAGTCATGATTCTGAGAAAGTTGTTAATGCTTTTTGGCATACAATGACATTGTAGTTGAAGGATTAAGTATTCATTTCATGCTTTGTAATCTGATTTTGTGACTGTCTCTCTAGAAATCCAAGCGAGCTGTTTTTTTTTCTCTGAACTTGTGGACAAGTCCAATATTTTTCATTACATGATGCCCTAAGCCCAGGTTTGCCAGGAGTCTGCTGGTGGTGTCCTTCAATGTTTAGGTACTAGTGATTCATTTCAAATCCACAGTTAAGGTATTAGTAGAATGAGTGAAGAGTGCTTAAAAATATCATCCATCCCTACAAGCTTTCACTTGGGACAAGGTTAGGCTCAGACACCTCATTTAGTCACCAGCCTGTGGTCAGCCACTTGAGAATTTTTCCTGAACTTGTGCCTCACCATGGAGGAAGGAGCCCTGGGCTCTTATATAATGACTTGAAACATACCTCCTTTTCTTTCCCCAAGTGGACAGTCTACATTGTTTTGCTGAGATTGGAAATGAATGGGTCAATAGGTCCATAGCTACTTCAATTCTTGGTCATACCTTTAGGCTTCAGCCAGCTAAATGCAGAATAGCACACAGCACACCCAAGGTTCATACTTCTATGGGCTGCCTGCTTCTGGGGTGGACTCATGCTGTAGGTGTGCTGTAACCCACCAGAGAAGATGTTGTTTGGAATAGATATCTGATTGACTGAAGTTACAGGTCTCTACCTGTTCCAAAAGTTAGAAGAGGTTCTGGCTCTAGAGATTGTCTTTGGGAGGCATCTGTTCAGTGTTAGGTTTCACCTGCCCAACATTACATGCCAAAACACAATAACTGTGTGCTTCTTTTCTCTCCTAGCCCTTGTGGGAGAAGTCTTGTTCCTTGCTGTGCTGCCCCAGTTTGAGAAGAAGGATGGTGAAGGTAGCCCGGGTTGATGCTACACTGGGTCACACTTGAGTCTCTTTTCCTGGATGGTTTCTGCTGAAAAGTCTAGTGTCAGAAGAAATGGGACACAATTATGTGTTCCTTGTTTCTTTTCCCTTGCTCCTTTTGGGATCCTCTCTTTGTCTGTATGCTTTGAGAACTTAGTTGTACAATCTCTTGGAGTAGATTAGTTGACTCTAATCTGGTTGGTGGCCTTTGTCTTATGTATACCTGATTATTTGTAATATTCCTAGGTTTTGAAAGTTTTCTGCAAATATCTCTTTGAATAATCTTTCAACCTCTTTGTATTCACAATATCTCTTGAACTCTAATAACCTGAATATTTGTTCTTGTAATGCTATCCCAAAATTTCTGGAAGCTTTTTTCATTAATCTTCTTTCTTTCCACTCCCTTTGTTGTTTATTTTCAAACAGACTGTCTTTGAGATCAATGATTCTTCTTTTTGACTGATTCCACTATTAATGCCTTCTATCACATGTATCATTTTATTATATATGTATATATATGTATGTGTGTGTATATATATATATATATATATCAGTGTCAAGACTTCCTTTAGCTTTTTAAACTATTTTTAATCTCTCAGTTCAGTTCATCTGATAAATTACTAAATCATTTCCCTACATTTTCTTGAAGTCCTTTGAGTTTCCTTAAAACAGCTTTGTATTATCTGACCAAGTTATCACATATAACCAGTGATTTGCAATTGGTTTCTGGTGCCTTGTTTGGTCTATTAGGTGATTCTTCATGCTTGTGATCATACACTGTAATTTGGATTTGGAGTGTCTCTTACAGAGGCATGTGTTAGAAGTTTGGTCCCCAGTCTGTGGTACTACTGAGAGATGGTAGAACTTTTAAGAAGTGGAACCTAATGGAAGGTATGAGGTCTTTGGGTGGGCATCCTTGAAGGAGATTGTGGAACTCTGGGCTCTTTTTCTTTCTTTTTCATATCCCAGCCATGAGGCTTAATGGAAAACTGACTAACATAGTGTACAAAGATGTCTGTGTATTGAAGGATTAGCCATTTACCCCAGTCTTCACAACCTAGCTTCATACCTATCCTTCTAGAAATTCTAAGCTTCATACCTATCCTTCTAGAAATTCTAAGCAGGCTATGTTGCTCTCTGATCCCATAATCACTGCTGCTATTTCAGCAACTGATGGCACCTTCCATCAAGTTTGTCACAAAGCTATGGAATGTGTATTGTCACTGTTATTGGTTCTCAGCCTTTTGGCTAAGATCAAGTGTAGTATTGTCACTGTAACAGCACTACAAGGCATCCCAAGCCCACATTTGTTCTGAATCTGCACTTAGTGTATTTTTCAAGATGGATTTAGGGTCAATACTCCACTAAGACCAGCCCAACATGCAGATAATTTTGAGGCTTATATTGCTATAAACTGCTTGTAGTTATAATCTATTCACTGCACATAAACACAGCAGCAGGCCAAAAGTTGTAAGCCAAAAGTCCAGCTCACTGGGCTTCAGGTCAAGAGCCACTGCAGGTCTAGAGGCTCCATTTTGTAGTCACTGACCTACAGACAGAGTCTCTCATGGAGTATCTTTTCACATTGTGCTGTGTGAGGTAGGGTAAGTGATGGTAGAGGCAGTCCTTTGACCACTAAGGCTGATGCTAAACTAGGTCACACTTAAAGCTCAAGGCCCAAGATAGTGGAATAGTCTCAAGTGCACACCTCATGACCACCTCAGGGACAGTGGTTGTGCAGGCCAGACTACAAGTCTGATGATAGTGCATTTATGTCTGGCTCCAAGGATAAGGCCAGAGGTTCCATCCTCAAGTACTGATCTAGAGGCAGAGACCATATGGTTCTGCACAGTACTGAATTTCATCACAGTGGACCTGACACTAAGTGCCATGTTCATAGCCTGCACCACATTATTATCCCTCACCCATGCTGCAAGCATCTCTCTACACAGTGCGGTTTACAGTTGAGTGAGGGTGTTGTAGGCAACTCTTCCTTCCTTCAATGCATCTGTTCTTACTATGGTGCTAAAAGAAAGTACTGTGATCTCTCACCTGGTTTCCACAGCTCTTGAGAAGAAGAGACAGAAGAGAGATGACCTGACTCTTCCCTTTTCCTAGGACAGATTGAAAAGGAGGTAGTTAAACCAGTATCTCTAATCCCCCTTTCCCTGTTTCCCTTCACTCATTCAATCCCCTGAGGATGGACTGGCACAACTTGCCCCAGAGTCCTTTCACCACCCCCTCAGATTACCTCACAATCACTCTCTCCAGGCTACAATGACAGGAGAGAGGTGCCCCTCCCTGGCTTCCATCACTTCAGATGCAGCTGCCACCTCTCTGAAGAAATGGCCAGGGAACTACCCCCTAATAGGGCACAGATCAGGAAGGTATCTGGATTCATGGTAAAAATTCCCCAAATCCCAATTATCTCTGGGTAACATGGCTAGCTAACCATCCTTAGAAATTCCCCAAAAGTGACAGAAGTCCCAATTTTACTCCCATTATTTCTATGACAATGAGGCAGCTGTCAGTCAAGCAGCTTCCTCTTAGGATATTCTGCTTAACTATCTCTGGGGTAACTGAAGTTGTCCTGGACACACCACGCCTGCTGCAGGAGATGTCTGGCCTGTTAAATTTGAACCAAGCAGCAAAATTGAATTTCGACTGAGCAGTAGGCTTAAATCAGCAGGCTTGAATTCAGAACAATCATAAGCTTGATGATGTCATATAAGCATAATTTTTCTCCCACTCCTTGAATTAGTCTCTGTGCATGGAGTTGGGGGGGGGGGTCCATCAAGTCCTGTGCTACATAGATCCTGTTCAAAAGATCTGTTCTGGTTGTCCTGAAAATCTACTCAATATTTTTATACTGAGAAGGGTGGGCAGAGCAGTTTTCTTTTAAAAAGAGCTATAAGCACTAGGAACCACTAGCCTTGAAGACCTCCAGAAAACAACAGAAGCTGGTAGCCAACAAAGATCATCAACAGCAGAGACTAGCAGGAACTGGGAGTGGCAACTGGCATATCAGGCATCAACTGGTATCAACCACTGGCATTGTCTAGCAATGGCAGAGATCAGCAGCCACTGGCAATGTAAACCAATGTCACTGGCAGCATCATCTGGTCTGGTAGCAGAGACCACTAGAATGACCAGTGTCAGCAATCAGTGCTAACTGATGATTAACAATAGAGATGAGAGGACTCAAGCAGAAGCTGCTAAGATCCCCCAATAGCAAATCCCCCAGGATTTGCCTCCCTTGCTGAGAAGCTGACAGGGGCAGCCTAGAGCCCAAGGGCCAGCCATTCAGAGCCATTGACACTCAAAATCTAGAGCTGATAGCAGAACTGCACTTTGCTCTTTCAGGACTTGTATCTAAGTCAAGGAAAAGAATCCACTATTGATTGACAACAAAGAGTTCTAACTGCTGTTTTTATCAGGAGGCAATTCCTGGAATGTTGTTCTCCACCACTTTGCTCTGATCCTCCCTCCAATAAAACTGGTAATTATTTTGAATTCCTTGTCTATCTCCAGAATCACTAACATTTCAGATATTGACTTTGTTTCTTCAGACTTGTTTTTCTTGTGTTTTACAATGTCTTGTAATTTTATGTTAGAAGGTGGATATTATGTGTTGAATTGTAAGTACTGAGGTACATAGGTGTTTTGTGTTTTTGTTTAGAATTATATACTCTGTTTGCTATTTCCTATACTTGCAAATTTCTGAGAATTCAGTTTCCTTTAGTGTCTTTTTTATTTTTTGTTTCCAATTTTGTCATTGGGTTTCTTGAGAAACTCTTTCACAGAGTCTGAAATTTGGAATTTTTCTGCTGAAATCCTGTGTTTTATATAGCAGCTCTCTTGATAGTGTCAAGGTATGGGTAGAAGAGAAGTATTCTATAGTCTTCTCCTATTGCCTCTAATCTTTAATGCACCTGTGCCCTAGGCTAGGTTGTTAGAAAAATACTTCTCAGCTTTTTTTTCCCCTTAGGTAAAGCAGAAATGCTGGAGGGGATTAGAGTTAAATACTTCCTTTCTTTCTCTTCAGTTATGCTCCTACAAAGTAATTTCCCTTGGGGGAAGAGAGAGAACAGAATTTTCTGGTCTTACACCTTTGAAAAAAGTACCAGGGGTTTATTCTTTAGTCTTCATAGTTGAGAATGTGACAGGCTCATGAGCGTAAAACTCACAGAAGATAGAGAACGCCCTCACACCCAGGCTGACCACCCCTAAGTGGTTTTAATACTCAGACATGGCTACATTGAGCATTCAGCAACTCATCAATTACAGTTTTAAGAGTTGCCAGTATAGTGGCTTCTGCAGTCTTCTAATGTTGGGCTTAGTTGCTGGGATTGAGAATAATCTATGATTCCCTGTGTTCATCCATCTCTTCACTTTTCAGGATAACAGTTTTCTTAATGACCTCTATTTTCTGATATCTCTTAGAAGAGCTCCTTAATTGCACTTTATTTGGCTTTTTCCTGTGCTCACTTCAGCATTACATATATTTGGCTTTTTCCTTGATAAAATTGGGGAGAATAACTCCAAATTTCACTTTTGCAATGGAAACCAGAAATCCTGGTAAACAAATTTTAAAACAGATATATTAAACACATAAATTTTCAACATGGAGCTAATATTCTTATAAAACCCTTCTTCAGGGAAGATCAGGAAAGAAGGGGTTTTTATACTTTTTCTCCTACTAATATAGGGGAAATAATGTAACTCCCAGCCTGCTGGATATCAGATACACCAAATTTGAGTTCCCCAAGATGGAAGAATGAATTCTAAGGAACAATGGAGGTTAAGAGCAAGAAAAAATTATTGAGAGGGAGAGTTCATTCCTGAGAGACAGGAGGGGACCTGAAAGTAGGTTGCCAATGAATCCACTTCTCAAAGGAAGTTTTATAGAGCAAAATCATGAGGTGGGTAAAATGTGGGTCAAAATTATGATCAACAAATAAGATTCCAAGTATAGCCACTTAGGTAATATTAATGCAATGGGGTAGCAGGTTACATAAAAAGTGTACATGAAAAGAACAAAGACCTTCTTCAGGAAAGGATGTATCAGGGGTCCTTGTCACCCACCTGCATGACTGATGTCTATCTGGACTTCATTGGAGCAGGTGATACCAATTATCTTATCCCCTGGGGAGGTATGTAGACTTGGCCATTCTGTTTTTATCTTGAGGCCTGTCCTCCAACAGATGCGCCTCAGGTTACAGTTGTAATGTGTTCTCATCCTCTGCACTGACTCCTGGAGGGCTTAGCCCTGTCTGACTGCCTAGAATTCTATCTTAGTATCTTAGCTGTCTAGAATACTATCTTTGCATAAGATTTTACTCTTTAGAAAAAAAGAATTAGTTACCAAATTTTATAATTTTAACATAAAAGTGAGCTAGTATACGTTAGAATCTGTAAACTAGACATATTAATTCTAATGCATTAAGTGTTTTTTTGATCATCATGCATGTGTAGCAGTGAAAAGGAAGCTGCTCTTCATGTTATTGATACTTAGACATATCTGCATTTCTCACTTTTATGGCAAGAAGGGTGCTCAGAGTTAGTTCAGTCACTTATTATTCTGTTCTCCTCCCACATATATAATCTTGATATATTCAGATATTGGTTTAAAAGTTTGGGTGGCCATTTCACTGGACACTTCAGAGTGTTCCCAAGCCTAATGATATCCCAGTCTTACAGCCTCAGGTGTTCCTGGACTCACAGACCAAAATCCTTGGCCCTGATTTTACTCTCCCTTAGCTACAGTCTCTTGGTCTGATAGTTTTCCATGACAGCTCTTGATGAACACCCTCAAAACCCTGTTTCACTTTGGTAATAATCTTAAATACAGTCTCAGAATTATAAACCTGCTAATCTAGACTCTAACATTTCAATTCAAAGTATCAAATGTCTAGAATCAAGGAAGTAATAGTTGAAGTCTATTGAACAATTTCACTCTCATACTTTGTCAAAAATGATCAACACTCCAGTCCATAAAATTGGCAGACATTTGCAGATTGTCAGCACTGACTGTCAATCAGGATAGGTAGAAAATGAGAATCTTCTATATGAGAGTACAGAAATCTGGTAGTGCTGTGTGAACATAAGTATATCCGTGTTCTTCCCCTCAGCAGATGACGTCCCTAATATCTATCCCAGAAAAGTTTTTGTGCTAATATTCAGGAAATGTGTAGGAAAGCATTCATCATATCTGTGTGTATAGTAACTGGGAGATGGAGACAAGCCATGTGTCCTTAATCAGTAGACCTGAAAAAGTTGAGTACTTTTAGGTATGGTTCCATAAAGCCAGACCCTGAGATAATTTGCAATAAGTAACTTATTTGGGGTGTGATTTAAGGAAGTACCAGTAGAGGAATGGAAGAGTGAGCCAAGGTCAATTTGACAACCAACACAGTATTATAGACAGCTAAGTGGGAAATATTATAGGCAATCATATAGGGTTAGGCTCTCTAGAGAGTCATGACAAAGGTGAAACATGTCACAGCCATGGCTGGAGACACATATTGAATATCAAGCTTCAAGATAAAGATGAAATGACCAAGCCTGTATACTTCCTCCAAAGACAAACACCAGGCCTAATGAAGCATAGATAGACATTAGTCATCCCAATGGGTGACCGAAGACTCCTGGATCCACAATTTTTTTAGAAGAAGTCTTTGTTATTTCTATGCACACTTGTTGCATGACTTGTTTTGCAACTGGATCACTATTACCTAAGTGACTGTACTTGTATCTATTTTTTTTTTTTGTACCAGGGATCGAACTCAGGTCCTTGCACTTGCGCCTCAGGTGGTGAAAACACTGAGCTAAATCCCCAGCCTGTACTTGTATCTATTGATTCAGCATAACTGTAACCCACATTGCACCCACATGAGTTTTGCTCTATAAAACTTTCCTGTAAAGTAAGGTTCACGGCTACTCATTTGGAACCCCTGCTACCTCTCAGGAGCTATGCTATCAATAAATATCTTCCTACTCTTAACCTCCATTGTTCCTAGAATTCATTCTTTAATTTTTAGAGAACACAAGCTCAATGTATCAGACATCTAACAGATTGGCAGATATAATAATTTCATATTTCATCTCCTGCATCATATCCGGTATCAAAAAGATGCATTATTGGCAAGTTGCCTGTTGAAAAAAGAATTATAATCACTCTGAACAACAGGAAGAGGCAGTGTAAGGCATGCCTCAGAATACTCCTACTTGAGAGAAAATGGGAACATTTATCCTACAACCGCATCTTCCTCAAGTGAGTTGTTAATACCAAGGGGTATTAATTTATAGGTCTCTACCCTGCCCAAGGTCAGCCCAAAAGAAACCCTTCCAACATACTCAGGATACACAGCAGAAAAACAAAAGAATGTGCTAGAGTACTAGGTCCCAAAGGCACAAGGCATCAATCATGTCATGAAGACAGGTTTTAAAAAACATAATATAAAGGAAACTATGTAATCAACAAGAGTTATAGACTATTGTCATTAATGTAGACAGAAGCATAAGCAGCAATATAACCATATGACACATACAACAGTCATATCACATGTGTGGACAAATTTCAGACACATTACACAGGACCTTTGTGTAGAGAGATAAATGTGCAGAAGAATAAGGGATAATGGAAAGAAAAATGAAAACAAAGACACCTTACAGAAATTGATGAAATAGACAATTTCCTGACCTCACCCATACCAGGTCCAGGTCTGCCTACCATAAGACCACAGACTCAGGGAACACAACATCCAAGCACCGTACTGAGGAGAAAAGGAGCTTTTCTCACCTAACACCTGTGAGAAAATAAGAGAATATAGGCAGGCAAGACCCCCATGTTAAGCATTATACACACACCCAGTATATATTGAATTAAAAGAAGCCATTAAAAAAAAAACAGTCTAAAGAAAGGGGCTTTACAGGAATCCAGCCAGTGCTGCAGAAATTTCTCAGATGTGGACTTTATAGGTCACCTTATAATACCCAAATTTGGTCAGTAAAAAGCCTCATACAGATGAACATAGATTTGTTCAGGACTTGAGAGTCATTAACAACATCGTATAGGATATTTTTCTTTATGGTGTCAAATAAATACACCATACTAACTGTCATACTTGAAGACTATGGATAGTTTTGAGTGTTAGAGTTGAAGGATGCTTTTTTTTGTATTTCACTTGAGGACAAAACTCAATTACTATTTGCTTTAAAATGGGAATATTTGAAAACAAAGGCCACATCCCAGTACTGTTGGGTTGCATTACCACAAAATTCCTCCACCATTTTTGGTGAGATCTTAGCGAGTTTGGAGTTGAAAAAGTGTAGACCAATGACTCACTGATCTTGTTATTTAAAAAATGAATAACTTGTGTGAAAAGAATGTATTTATCCAAGGGAATGGTGGAAGGAGGGGAGATTATGACCATTTACAATGGCAGGAATGGTTCAATTAAAGAGAAAGAAAACATCCCCAGAATGACAAAGATGATTATCCAGTGGCTAGATGTGACTTAGCATGTAGCCTTTCTGTTCATTTATCCAAAACCTTCCTTTCTTCTCCATAAACTCTTTTTATATAGCCAAATTCTTTGAGGTAAGCATTAGGGCAAGAGTTTGGCTATTTTTCTGATAAATCTAACTCATGATAAAATCTAACTTTCTTCCTACCACCTCTAGCCTCCAAATATTGTCAGTCATGTGGCAGGCAGAATTGGGCTTTGAAGGGAACATTAGGATTTAATATTTGCCCTTCAGGGCTTCAGTCTCACTTTGGTCTGATCCCTCCTTTTTTATTCCTTAATTCTTCCTTTTGAAATAGAAGTGTTTACCCCATGAAATTATATCTTGTTGTATCTGGAAGTATGTTATTTTTTTTAACATGTGCTCACAGCTAAGAGTTTGCCTTGAGTTTCAGAGAAGTCTTTGGACTTGAATATTTGCACAGTGCTTAAAATTTTGAGATGTACCAAATGCATTTTGTAGTATGAGATAGCCATAAGACTTTGGTGACAGGGTAGAATGCTATAGTTTGAATAAGTGCCCACAAAATGATCTTGTGTTAAAGGTTTGGTTTTGGCCCCATGATGTTTATTGGGAATAGGTTAAACCTCTCATAAGTAGAGATTATTACGAGGCTTCCCAGTCTTTGGAGGTACTCTCTTGAAGAAGATATTGGAATCCTATCCCCTTCTAATCTCTCTGTTGCCTCGCTGCCATGACTTCAATTACTTGCTCTATCATGTTTCTCACCAGGATGTACTGTCCCATCATAGGCCCAAAGCCCCAAGGCCAATTGCTCAGAGATGGAAAAACTCCAAAACTGTGGGTTAAAATAAACTTTTCTCTTTCTCAATTGATTATTCACAGTATTTGTTAGAGTACTGAATAACACATAAGTAAGGTATTAACAGGCTACATCTACATAGTTTTGCTGTTCATTATTAATTATATATTAACTTGATGTTTATACTTAGTTTTCAAGTTCTGAAATCTTTCTTTTCATATACTGTATTATTTCATCACCTCAATTTTATCTACTTTTATTGAACATATTTTACATGTCCTGCATTATCAAGTGCTTGCAAAGAACATCTTTCCATTGTTTATTTTTCAACTTGAATTGGTTTTCTTATTGGGCATGCAAATTTTGCATATTATGTTTGCTCTTGCAACCCTAAACTCATAGTATATTAACATTTTATTCTATTATCATATCCATGTATCTATAGCTTTGTCTCCACCATTTATTTATTTATTAAATCTATTGTGGTTGGTGAGGTGTGTACCTGAGGTTGAGCTTGGACTCCTCAATCTTTTCAGAGGAGATTAAAGAAGGTGAATATGAAGTCTCTACATTGATGGAAGATTTTTCAGGATGTAATTGGTCCCACTTTCTTTATAGTTACAATCTAAATTAAAGACATTACTTCGTTTCTCTACTTCAGTATCTCTAAATGAAATTGTCTCCTGAAGGAAGGCCAGGTGCTAACTCTACATATGGGTCTTTGGTGTGTTCGGTGTATATTTTGGTTTTCATTAAGAACGTGAAATATGGTTCACTTCTGCTTCCAGTTGCTATGGTGATCATTTAGGTGGTTGCTTCTTTGCCCCCTTCCTGCTGGCTTCCAGAACCTCCATGCATAGAGCACACCATGTCGCTGCCATCTTCCAAGATTATCCTTCCCACACCCGTTTCTGTGCAGCTCAGCTGCTCATTTTGTCATGCAGTTCACTCCCTCTCTTTGTGATGTTTTAGGATACCTTTTAATTTATGGTCCAGTAAATTACCCTTGTTTTTGAGAAAAGTCATGTTACATATTTTTAAAAGTATCTTTTCTTCTACTTCTAGAGGTTGTATCAGGAAGAAGAAACACTCTAAGACTTCTAAATTAATAGTGCTGATCAACTATGTTCTACTTACTAAGACAGGTGCCAACTGCCTTTCTGATAGTTCTCAATGAGCTGCCTGAATGTGCTTGCTCCAGCTCCTTTAAATCTTTTTTTGTGTGGGAGAACAAGCTGAGAAGGAGGTCTATCCCTGCATGAAGATGTTACTATTCAATATGGAAAGCTAATGGTATTTCAGGCTTTTTCCTGAAACTACTTTCCAATTACTTTTAGTATTTTATCTTGAGCTATAGCTTTAGTAATACACAACTTTTTTACATTTCATCACAGAATACACAAGAATTCTTTGGTTACAGCATATTGCTAGTATCTAGGTACCTAGCAGAAATCTAACTTCATCTTAATGGACTGGCAGTCACTAAATTCCAAGTTGACATTTTACCTTAAAAAAAAAAAAAAAGAAAAGAAAAGGGCACTTGTATAAATTAGGGTGGCACATCAACTTGATTGGTTTGGGGATACACTCCTGGGACTACTGGAGCATACTTCTGGGTATTTCTGGGTGAGGAATGAAGGTGTGACTTTGAATATTATATATAGTTTCTGATCTGTTACCTGGTTGGTACTCTTACCCTTCTCTGCTTCCCAGTGGATATGTGCTACACCTTTCCACCATGATGTTTCTCCCTTGTAACAAGCTGATCATGGACTGAATCCTTTTAAAACATAAGCTAAATTAAACTTGTTTAAATTTTGGGTTTCCAGTACTTTGTCCAGCAATGGTTACTAATACAGCAAATTGGTACTGAAGAAATGGGGTTGTTGCTGTGACTATATTTGACTATGTGCCTTAGAGTCTTTGGAGATAGTTTGTGGGAGGAATTTAGGAAGGTTTGAAAATGCAGGCTAGAGAAGCTCTAGAATGTTGTAAGCAGAACCTGATAAATTATAATGGTCAGAGCTCAAAAGACAAGAATGTTGATAGGAATATAGACAGTAAAGGCCAGGCTTAGTAGGTTTCAGTTGGGAGCAAGGATTCCATTGGTAATTGAACTAGAGGCCAGATGTGTTACACTCTGGTAGAAAATTTGTCTATATTTTTCCCATGTTCTGAGACTTTGCACAAGATGAAGATTAAAGGTGATAGACTAGTTAATCTAATGGAGGAAATTTAAAACAGCCCAATTTTCAGGCTATGATATAGGCTACTTTTAGCATAATTTGAAGAAAGAATCAGAGATCAAAAAAAGCACAGAACAAAAAATATTGAAAAATAAATTTAGGCACAGGATGAAATATGTTCAAATTTGGAGCCAAATAAGGTATGAGTAGGAAAGAGATTAGCATCTTTAAGAATAAAACAAGTACTTTGTACAGGGACAAGAAAAAAGATGTTTTAAGGACATTTCAGGAATTAGCAAGACCCCACCCACTGGTGGCTCAGTTGTGCAAAAGTGTTAATCTTTTTGTTGAGAAGAAATCCTCCTGCTTCCTTATTCAAGAAAGACCTCCAAAAGAATTGGTTAACTTAAAATTCATTTCCCTGTGCTTAGCTACCTAAGCACTCATAGGCTGCTGTTGTCACAGTATAACCAGGCCTGTTCACTGCCCATGCTCATGGTAGAGCTTGGATTAATCCATGTGATGCTGGTTTTACTGGCATGCAAAATACAAGAACTGTAGAGCCAGGGAAGCTTCTACCCACATTTCAAATTAAAAAAAGACCTGAGAGGCCAGACAGGAAGCCCCTGAGAGGACAGTGTATGAGGCTGTGAGAATACAACCAAAGGTACAGTAGAGTCCAGGAAGTTGGAGATACCAGGAATGTGGAACATTTGCTGAGGAATGAAGCAGGCCATGAGGGGATTCAGCCAAAAAGAAGAAAGGCCATGTGGGCTGGAACTGGCAATTCCATGTAGGTGGGGCCACCCAAGGCCTTTGGAGCTCACATTTCACACCCCAGTATCCTGGATGCTGGACATGGAGTTAGAGATTAATATTTGCCCTGCTTGGTTTTGGCCTTATTTTGGTCCAATTCTTTTCCATTCTTCTATTCATCCCTTTTGAATTTGGAGTGTTTACCTTTGCCATTGTACTTTGGGATGATGTAACTTTTTTTATAGATGCTCACATGTGGGGGGCCTTGCCCCCCCCGCTAGAACTCTTGAGTGCCTTTTACGGGCATGTCTGGGCCTGCTGCAAGTCTACCCGGCAACAAGGAAGTAGCCCCAGTACCCTCCCCTTGCTCGTTCCCTCTAGCCCTACGGTATATATGCTGTAGCAGCTTCTGCAATAAACGAGACTTGATCAGAAACCTGTCTTGTCTCCATCTCTCGTGTCCCCTGTCCTTTGTCATTCTCACTCCCCCTCTAGGGTCTCCGTTGACTTACCCGCGGGACAGGACAAGTGGCGCCCAACGTGGGGCCCGAGAACGGGGGATCCAGTGAAGAACGCTGCTCGGGGGCCCAATAAAATAGAAGAGACAAATAAAATAGAAAAAAGAGGATTGCATCTGACGTGAACCTGCCGTCTTTCCTGCACCTCGGTGAGTTGAGCAGCGATTATGGGACAGGAGATTAGCCAACATGAGTTGTTTGTAGAAGGTCTTAAAAAAAAACTTTACAGGCACGAGGGGTAAAGGTTACAGTCAAACAGTTGTTAAAATTTTTTGATTATATTAGAGATCCCTGCCCTTGGTTTCCTGCCAAGGGAAATTGACGAGAGGAGATGGAAAAGAGTAGGGGAGGCCCTTAAAAATTATTATGCTACTTGTGGACCAGAAAAGGTCCCGATTACTGCATTTTCTTATTGGAATCTTATTGATGAAATTATCTCCCAAAAAACCAAAGATCCGGTGGTGGCTCAAGCCATCCAGGTCGGGGAGACAGCTCTCCGATCAGAGGAAGGGTCGATCACTCTCCCTCGGAGTGAGGAGTGTGTAAATACCCACTGAGATGCCAAGATGGTGCCGAGGCCGGAGCCCCTGCGGGACGGGACTTCCTCAAAAAATGAAGAAAAAGACTTGATGTCTTTTGATAGTGACGATGAGTCAAACAAACAAACAAACAAACAAAAAAAATGCAACCGATGAGGGTTTACAGGCGGGCTCTGCCTCATCCAAGCCTTTTAAGAAAAAGCTTCGACACTCCTCAGCTTCCACCTCCGCCCTTTCAGCCCCTGCCTCTAACCCCACCCTGCCAGTGAAAGAGGAACCGATCTTGTACCCTTCCCTCCGCCACCTCAGACACCCGCCCTTGCCACAGAACGATCCGGGGGAGGCTGACTGGGCCAATCTTGAGGAGGAGGCAGCCAGATATAATCCTGACTGGCCGCCCATAGTCCAATGTCCACCTCCTTTCACCGCCTGCTCACAGCAGCGGGTCGGATTTTTGGGAGTGCAGAAACAGGGACAGATTTTGTTAAACAGCTTGCTTTTGAAAATGCCAATGCTGCTTGCCAGGCTGCCATCCGCCCTTATAAAAAGAAAACTGATCTCTCAGGTTACATTCGCCTTTGCTCAGAAATTGGGACCGCCTACCAACAAGGGCTTGCTATGGCTGCCGCCATGCAGGGTTACAAGGTCAGACAGTTTTTGTCGCGCCGCCCGGATAACAAGTGTTTCTGGTGCGGGGCAACGGGTCACTTTGCCAAGGAATGTCAGACCCGTAGGGCGTCGGCCCCTAGGGCCACACCCCCGGGACCTTGCCCTCGATACAATAAGGGGAGACATTGGGCGAATGAGTGCAGGTCCAAGACGGACGCTCAGGGCCAGCCCCTCCCGCTTGCCCATAACCTGGACCAGGGAAACGGGAGGGGGGCCAGCCCCGGGCCCCCAGACCCAAACAAATTTACGGGGCGCTCAACTTTGCTCCAGCAAACAACAACCCATTTCAGACCTCTTCAGAACAACAACGGGAAGTGCTGGACTGGACCTCAGTTCCACCGCCCACACAGTATTGACTCCAGAAATGGGGGTACAGGCCCTCCCGACAGGGGCCTTTGGACCCCTACCTAAAGAGACCTTTGGGCTTGTAATAGGCAGAAGCAGCAGCACTATGGATGGGCTGCTAATCTACCCGGGGGTGATTGATAGTGATTACTCCAGAGAGA